ACCTTGTCAATTTGAGTCTACAGTTATGAAGGGATATCTGTAGGGGGAAATGTTCCGCGGATGGACGGCACAAGTAAATTTTTTTGCATTTGTACTAAAAAATTACTAATCCATTGCTTTTTAGGAGCGAAAAAATCTACGTGAACAAACGGAATGGCGAACAAAGAAATTGTTCTCCATTTCGGGCCCTTATCTTTGTTAGCTTCTTAGACTAAATGTTTCCAATTTTTTTTAATATTTAATTGTTGCTAATACGATTCTGCTTTCAGAAATATTGACGTGTGAATAACTGTTCCGATTTTAGAGTTTCTCACTTTCATCTCTGCTTTTACATCCTTTGAACAAGTAGATTCTTTGGGAGATGATATCTTTAATTGGATAAGTTTAATGGAAGATGAAATTTGTTTCCCTTTCACCAAACAATGGAGTCATCTGATTCGGAAGATGCACGTATACTACTAGCATTTTCACCTAGTAGGTTGTTTCCAATATGCCTCAAATAACCAGTCAGGTGGGAGGCTTTAAAATCCAATTTCCAGGGTGCTAATTCCAGCTTGTATCACAAATGGACTTGCTTACACTTAATTTGCTGTCGAGGAAATTTGACCCTAGCCACTTCTCTACTAGATTGACAATTATGTTCAAACGCTAACCTGACTTTGTTCTCAATTATAATTCTTGACAAAATAATGAGTACATCACAGGGAGATAAAGCGTAACTGACGTTTTGTAGGCAAGCATGACAAGATTGGAATTTTAGTAAAAAACAGAATTTAGAGGCATCTATTAGTTTAGATAAGTAGCGTTCAAAAAATTCCCCTTCAAGCCATAGAAGGAACTGCAGTTAAGAAAACTAGTGAGTGGAGGTGCACCTTGCAGGAATCAAAGTGATCCCTTAAATAAATTCACATGTAAATCAGTTGCATATTATAAAGTGTACCATTCTACTGCATATGAGCGATTTGAACCCTCGTAGGCATTCCTTCCTCTCTCGCCTCACTAGCGTTGTGCCTCAAGCGTTTCCCGAAGACCAAAGGCGTCATAATATTGCGACAGAAATGTATTGTAATTGCGAAGAAGAACTGGGAGCTACTACCTAGCAAAAGTACAAACGCCAGGCATTTAGTATCTATGACATTAAACCAAAAAGTTTAAAAAATAATCTAAGTGCTGCGTTTACCTACAGCTTTGGTTGTTTAGCGCTGGATTTTGATAAAGAGATGCTTTGGGTCTTGACTTTTGTGCATTCGCTCTGTAAGCTTGTCTTTGGGTCATGCCGGTAGGTCCGACCCCTCCTGTATGTTGATTCCATGCATTCTGTCCTGAAATTCAATATTCTTTCACCTTCAGGGAAGTTTCAGGGAGCTACATAGGTGCCGGCAGACAGTAAACTCGATCTTAAAGGGCATTTGTCTTGGTTTTTACTGCTGGATGATAAACCTTAGCAAATTGGGAGAATCTGCGAAGACAACACAGAAGGGCTAAAGTTGACGTCTACCTCTGGCAACTACCTCAGTTCCGTGTTCTGTAGGAAAGCTTTAAACAGGGGAACCATCACCCGATATGATGCACTGGAAGAGTTTGTTATGGAATTTCTCGCAGTGCCTGTAGAAAGATTTTGACAAAGTGAACTTGCGTTACCTCCACCATCTCTCCACTCATTGGATAGAATCCGAATAGATATAGCTGGGCAAAGAACTGAGTCTAATACCGGCCTTCCTTGCGTAAATCTGCTTTCAGGGCAGTGTTACCACGACCACCTATGAACACTAGCGATATCTAGTACAATTTTTCGTCCCCAAATCCAGTTTCCACTTAGAAAGAAACATCAGGTTTAGTAGAATCGCCAGGAAGAATAAGTGGGGCTGCGGTGAAGAATCGCCACATTTACATGGAAATTCGGTGACAGGCATGGGTGATCCATGGATGTTTCATTTCACCACTGATTTTGTTGTGGTAACAGACACAGGACCTTGATTAAGAGGAGCACTGAGGATGAAGCTGAGAGGAGGAGAGGGAATGTGTAATATGTTGCTTGTTTTACCCTCAGTTATGGCAAAAGGCCACTTGTTGTCTTAGCTCTTGTACCTGTGCCGGGTGGCCCTAGTTCCTAGTCCATGCCAGTAGCCCCAGGCCCTGCTGTATGTTGATTATGCACATTCTACCCTGGTATTATATCACCTTTTGTCTTCAGGGGAATCTCGCAGTGCTACATGCCATATCATGCCACATTGGTATGGTTCATTACTGCCTTAAGAAAGATTTAGAATGCGCGAAAATAATAGTTGAAGACTATGCTCTTGTTTATTTGAGATTTTGCCAGGGTGCTTGCCTATTTACACCGGCTCCAAAGCCTCCGTATTGTATCAGCATCCAAGTACTTGAAATCAGCAAAATGAAAGCTTTATTCACTAGTGCTTTTTGCGGGCACCTTAAGAAAAGGAGCTGCAAATACTGCGCTTTTCCGGTGCATGGAGAAAAACATTTTGTAGTAATTTAAATTAATCCTGTGCTTAAAGAGGAAACCTAAGCCCTATAAATGGACTAAAACAACCTCAAATGAATGACTGTTTCCCATTTTGGATTCTTGAGTTAGTACTAACTAAGCAACAAAGTTATATTTACTTTGACCTCTCATTGTGAATGGCACTTGAAGTCTTGCAGTGGTATAAACATCCAAGCCCGAATGCCATTAATGTCATCATAGAGGCGAATCCTGTTTGTGCCAATTTTCGTGTTTATTAAAGCATATTTTTCTGCAAAAATCCCTCTTAATGCCATATTTGATGATTGTTTTTCATATTTTTTTCATGAAATGTCCTGTCTAACGTCTAAGCAGGTGCCATTCCCCCATAGGCTGTTCAGCTTTCGAGGTTTTGGCGTCTCACTCAGTTTGTTTGTGTCTATGGTTTTATGAAATCTCCAATACAAATCTCACTTTCATTTCATTGCAGCATTTATACAACCGAAAGTTTGCAAAAATAGTACAAATTATGCACATCATTCGCTTTTTACTTCCAGCATTCCCCGAAGAGAAGATGTATTCTGCCTATTTCACTTAATTTACTTTGAATAATATTTGATTCGTAATTGCCGTTTTTGCTATTTTGCTATGGCCATGGCTGGAAATCTCATGTATACGTGTACTTTTGCGGACTAAAGCAAATCGTGATAACAGTTACCCTAAGAACACATTTTTAGCCATTGTACAAATTAAGCTCTTGTTAATTTTTGCTGACAGCTGAACGATTAAATCTGATATCCCTTTTTACGAACTTTTCAAATTTCTGTGTTTTGCTGCTTGTTGTTAATAGGCTTTTTATTTTGTTCTTTTGGTCCGTGAACAACTCTGCTAGGGAGATTGTTTCGTGCGACTTTTTACTTCATTTTCTTTTCCTCCTGTTTCAAATGCTAGCATTGTGTATTTATAATAAAGCAGACAATGACGTGCCTTTATCCCTACGATGCTGAACAAAAGGCATTCGTAAATTAGCTTTGACTTTTCATGCTTGAAAACATTTTAACAAGACTATATATATTTGCAAATCAGCAGTCATGCAAGTAAATGATTCTAGGTAGTGGATAGCAATGCAACAACGAATGAAATGCCACATTATTCGGTTCATAAACACTCATATTTTAACAAAAGACATCAACTACTACTCCCTTGTTTATCTTATTGTAAAAGTTGAAAAGAATAATTTAAAAACCAATCACCACTACCTCGCTACGGGCGGTGGTTAATTGTATCTCAAGTCCTCCAAAATTTTGCATATTGTCAAAGATGCAGTTAACATTTACACGACTAAATTTTACTAATCGTCAGTCCTCATTAATACGTGGGGATCATGCCGAACTTGAAGAGGTAGAAGAGGGCACTGTTTATCCTAATAATGAATTAGACAGTTAAGCAAGTGATTCGGTGTTATGGCTGTAATGGGCTGCTAAAATCCCTTCTAAATCCTAGATTTTCACTTTTAAAACCTTATAAATACAAAAATCAGCGAAACCTTGGGATTTCTGCCTGGAAGAATGTACACCGATACCTCCATCTCTGATTTAGGGAATTCTGCAAGAAGCGATACTTGCAGTGATAAGTTAGATGCCCTGGTTAGTTTTTAAACAGTACATAGTGAACCTAGTAAAAAAATGTCCTTAAATAAGTAATTTGCCAGATCCTCTACAAGATATTCCAAAGCTCTAGAAACGTGTTCTTTATTGTGGTAGACTCCCTTTTTCAGCTCATGTTCTAGCTTTAAGTGAATGTGGCGATTAAGGGGCTGTCCCTTCACATCATTGGAAATAACTATGGTACTGCCAGTCGATGCGAGCGGCATAGATCGGTCTGTAGCTAGTAAAAGCGATATTGAAAACTTATTCTGTGAATTGAAGAAGGGACCTGCGGAGTCCATTTGTGCTGCATGCAATCTTCATTTACAATCAGACTGCTATGTAAAAGTGACAGTATGGCTTAATGAAAAAATGTAGGAGAGTGAGATTATAGGTATGGAATAGAGGGCAGATGAGACCACCAAGTGAGCTGTGTGTAAAATTTCGAATCCTTTTACAATTTATTCTTTAATTTTTTACCACCGATCTATGTGCTTGGAAAATTTCTGTTGATCTGTGTAATCTCCCTCAGTCTTTAATTGCAATCACCTCTGTCTGCATTAAGAGCGGCTGTAACAAACGTGTCAAGGTGCCGATG